GGATTCAGGCTGGATTCATGCAGGGTTCACAGAGGATTCAGGCTGGATTCATGCAGGGTTCACAGAGGATTCAGGCCGGAGTTACGTAAGGTGCAAAGAATTTATGCAGGGTTCACAAAGAGCACATACAGGATTTACGCAGGATTCACACAGGCTTTACAAAGCATTTACACAAGATACACAAGGGGATTGCAGGATCTACCAGGTTTCAAGCTAGATATATGCAGGGTTCAGAGAGGGTTCATGTTGTATTTACACAGAAATTACACGGGGTTCACAGTATTTACACAGGGTTCATGTAGTATTTACACGGGAATTACAGAGGGTTCACAGTATTTACACAGGGTTCATGTAGTTACACGGGAATTACAGAGGGTTCACAGTATTTACAGAGGGTTCACACAGGATTTACTCAGGGTTCACAGGAGATTCAGGCAGGATTACTCAGGGTTCACAGGGGATTCACATGGGACTTACACAATTCATAAAGGGTTCATGCAGGATTTGTGCAGTAGTCACAGAAGGCTGGTTCCACAGTCTCTAGTCTGTATTCTCTCTCCTCTCACACATACTGTCCACAGTCTCCTGTCTGTATCTCTCCTCTCACACATACTGTCCACAGCCTCTGTGGAGTGACATCTTTCCCCATAATTCTGAAAAAAATTCACCCATGATACAACAGCACTAATGATAATGATTAGAGATACAATGTGTTCTATGATTATACTCTGAAAATAAAATCCTACAAAATATGTTGATTTGTCAGTCCTCCAGGACCACGTGAGGCGCTCTAACACGGCAGATTACTCTTATTTTAAACAATTACAAAAAGTCCAAATACAGTGTTTGTCTCCACAATGGTAGAGGGCATTCCTCTCATAATGTCAGTATCATTGTATTTATCGTCATCATTATCATGAGGGTTGTCTCTGTCGGTTCGTAAATGCTACACTGTCTGGATATCTATGGCACCGGATAGTTGGTAGTGTAGTCATCCACTATCCCAGCATGCCACTTAGGGAGAGTAAGTGGAGAGATTGTGCGCACTCGATGGTACCTCTCAGTTTTTCCAAAATGTCGTCGTTGGAGCAGAGACTCTCCCGAATCGAGGAGAAACTAAAACAGGAGAATAAAGAAGCGCGAAGGCGCATCGACCTCAACATCGATATGAGCCCGCAGCGTGCCCGACCCCGACCCAGTGAGTCTTGGAGCCGGTAGAGCCGGGAGCGGTGGTGGGGGTCGGCAGGAATTTGGGACAGGGACGGGGAGAGGGAGGGGAACGAGGAGGAGGGGAGATCGAAAATCTGTAGACATTTCTACACAAACCGCAGCGCCCGCCGGACCCCGGGTGCCGGACGGGTCCGGTATTCGGGACCTGAAGCGGACACGAGTGAAGTTCCTCTCCGGTTTGCGGGTCTGGACTCGGACCTGCAGGCCGCGGCTCTGCCTGGTCGTCCAGTCCCGTCGCTTTCCGGCGCCGCTGTCCGGTTTCTTGTTTTTTGTTTTTCAGTTTCATTTCATTTTCGTGCTTAGTGGTTTAAAATGTGACCAAGGAAGCGGCAGGGCGGCCCTGTCGCCTCCTGTAAACACCGCAGCCGTGACGGGACCGCCGTGGCGCGACCTTGTGACGGGTTAAGTTACGTTGCAGCTTCTGTCTTGGACTTGAGCACAAAGCTCAGCAAGACGTGTGAAAACATCCGTACGGGTGTCAGCTCCTGTCTCGCAGGCGTGTTTGAGAAGGTCTGTAGGTGGAGGAGCTGTCTTCACTCCGCAGAAGAGTGCCGGGATTGTAAACCCGTGTGTTTGGATTGGCTTGCGTTTGTCGGTCATCTGAAATAGAAAGTAGTCATTCGGCACGTTAAACGTGGTTGTCTGTCTGACAGTGGCATAGTTTACTGATATGCACAGAGCAGGACAGGGAGAGACAGGAGACAGGACAGGATCCCTCAGTTCTACATGTGCAATAGGACAGGAGACCAAGGAAGTAACAGAATCCTTCAGTGAGAAACACACAGTAGGACAGTAGACACTGGAGCTAAAACACTGACACCATAATTATAGATGAACACACCGAAGGAGTTGTTTCTTCTATCCCGCCTGCTGGGTTTGTTGATTGTAGAAACAGCATTTACTCGTGGGGTCACTGCGAGAGTAGCTGTTTGTGTGCAAGTGATGCAAAGCGGTGCACACGGCGATTACAACTTTGTATGCTGTGGTTTGCAGTGTGCATAGCTGTCTGTGGATATACAGTGTGTATATTTCATTATAACTGTGTGTAGCAGTGTACATTATGCACAGCTGGTTATAGCAGAGTGGACAGTGTGTGGAAGTGGACAGTGTATACGGCTGGTTATAGCAGA